TACATTCGCGGGCGCTCGTACACGAAAAGTGGTGCGTCCACTTCGCGATTAGCATCGCAAAATATTCTCAGCTCCCCGACGGGGTAGTGTCGAGGGGCTCGGGGACGCTCTCTCAGGGCGGTCGCGTTTTATATTGCTTTTCTGTGATCTCAACGAGGAGGACAAAAAGGCAAGCGCGTGTTGGGCGGTGAAGAGGTCGCGCAGTAACGAGAAGAAGAAATCGCGCGGGAGAAGTTGCCGCGGGCTGGCTTTGTAGTTACGGACAAGTTGCACGCCACCGACGACAGGCACGAGAGACAATTCGTTAGGGAAGCAGCGCATTCGTTATGATACATTAAGAATCACCGACGACGAATCATCGCCCTCTTTCAGTCCTTAAAGGACGGTAAAGAAAAATTGTAAAGCTCTCCAATTGCTTTTTATGTAATATTCGATTTTCAAATGATAAATGCATGTAACGAAAAATTTATCGCATATTATAGAAACCAGTGACACATAAAATGTGTCACTGGTTTCTATAATAAAAATGTAATAGCACACATATTTTTACTTTTTAATATTAAGTATTTTACCCGAATTAAAATTCAATCTCAATATCGGAATAACAGTCAGTTGATATTAGATAAAAACTTGTTTTGTCTGTTATTTTTATTTATAATTGGTTTCCTTTCAAATTTTGACATCTATCATATCAAAGGAAAATATAATCCAGGCTAGAGTGTACAGGGTGACAAAAAAGTTCGGTCATAAAGTTTTGTGTTCATAAAATCATTAATAACGTATATTTACAAAAAAACAAATTTTGGACTATATATATAATATATATACAATATAATTATCTTATTAAACATCGAAAATAATAATTAACATTTAAAATGGCTATCTTTAGCTTTGATACAAACTTTATAAAACACTTTGGAAAGATGTACATCAATAATGGTTGCGCAGCTTTTCACGGATAAATCTTCCCAGGCTCACCAATTGAGCGATTTTCAATTCACTATCCAATGAAAATCGTTCAGTACAGAATATTTTTGGTAAATAAAGTATTATATAAGTAATACTTCAAAGTTTGTTTTTTTAATTACACATTACTATCATCTTCCAATTAGTGTTCCACCAGAGATTGACGATTCTTCTGCCGAAGATCTCACTATTTTGCCAGATATCGTAGTACCAAAATTATCAAAACTGAAATTGTTTTGTAGTAAATTTAAAAAAAAAAAGATTATCAAATATGACCCTCCTGCCAAAGATTACGACAGTTTTACAAAAGATCGATTGTCATTATGAAAATTTATACTGTTTTCAAGTGCGTTCTCTAAAAAAAAGATTATCAGGATTAACGAATATTATTCAAAAAGACGAAAGACAATCGACACTTAAAAGTAAATATCATCAAAATGTTAAAAATGAGTGAGTAATCGAAAATTTTTTCATACCAAAAAATTTAGTCAAAAAAGTCGGAGTCTCCAGCGGAAAACAGGAGAGGTGACAACCATGATTACTATCTAAGAAGAAAGTTGACATTATTTGTCTTCATTTTGATGTCTTTAATATCATTTTGACATCAAAATGACAATATAATAATGTTTGCTACCTGGATAATAATTTGATAAACATACAAAACTTCATCACGCAAACTCTCTCGTCACCCTGTATATTTGTCAATATTGTATAATAATATTTATCTACTTGTGTATGTTCTGGCAGAGCTGATCCCTGAATAATAAACAGATTTTTCCTCGTTCCCTCTTGTTCTCAATGTCTTTCACCTTTTTGCATCGTCGCACGATGCAGTCATTCTTAAAATGCATGAATGTGCTTGTAGCACGTGCGCACGCATGCACGCACGCACGCACGCACGAGTCCCTCGAAAAATAAACCATGAGCTTCTTACGTCGTCGCCGTAGCATGACTTAATTAATAGGAAAAAGCGAGTAGCGTCGACAAAGTCCGTCTTTGTCGAGGAGTTCGCGGCACTGGGTCAATAAAGAGCGCCGCCGAGTAGACGACGGTGTTTCACTAATTACGTGAGCGTCAACTCGCTTGGAACGACACCATCGACGCGATCGCGGTATAATTGAATGAGGCGAGGACGCAGTGCGATAATAAATTCATTCGGATTCGCGTTCGATCGACTCGCTCTACACGTCCGGTGACTAATCGTCTGTTTGAATACGCTTGTACAAGGCATTAAGGCTCCTTTATGCTACACGGCTTTACAACGATCTCTTGAATAGGACGACTCGCATTGATATGTATCTTAGGCTCTTAATATAGAACGTAGTCTTCAGAAGTTTGAGATTAGAATAAAATTGATATGAAAATTGATTTTATTAATCGAGCAAAGTGCATTTCTATTATAAAATATGTAATGATATTAAAATAAGTGTCGGTTAGCATATAAAAATAAAATGATTTATTTCTAGGTATATTTGGATCAGAAATTTAAGCTTTTCGTCATTTTAAATTGATTAGATTAGACACACGATAATATCATATCAAAATGGAGCAGCGTAGTTAAGGCTTTAAATATCGCGCGAATCGATGCGAGTATCGCATTGCTCGACGGGCGTGCGACAGTTTGACAGATGAATGAACAATTGTTTTACTCTGATTTTGACCATAATGACGACATTGCGTACACCGGTTGTTAATTTATTTCCACGCGGAACTTTTTCGTCGGGACGAACACGTTCGTTCGCGCCTATCCGATTATTCGTCAGCGCGTTCTCGCGAATAAATGCAAAATTACGGGACATTCGGGACCACGGTAATGTACATGTTCGTGAAATCGGTTGCAATTAACGTTAATTCATTCGCGAAGGATTTAAATGTCTCCGTCGTGTGGGAAAATAAAACGGAGCCGATCATAGATCTCTTTCTTCGGCGGTGGCCTATTGCGTTCTCCGCGTTATCGATGACCCTTGAAAATATATAGCTACTCGCCAAATAGATCCCTCTATATATACTACCGCAAATAGAAAGTAGAGTGATTCGATAAGCGTGTTGCAGGTAAAGCTCGGAAATAGCGGCAATACATTTTCATGTACATTTTCTTAACGCGATTTCAATTTTTTCTTATATTTCTGCATTTTGTGTTTCTGTTGCATATTCTTTGGAGCATGACAAAGGATATGAGTGTTAAACGATACTAATTGTTTCATGTTAACAGCTTAGAGAAAAATGTTACAGGAAACATTGCGTGCGGCTCTCGATAATTGAAACGAAGTCCCTGCTCAGTATCAACATATCTGCATACAACGTCACCGAGTGTACGTGTTTGATATGATTCATGGTCACGGTAAAATCATTAGCAATTTGAATGAACAGAATTATTGAACGAAATGCTAATATCAATGCACTATATAATTATATTTCTAATAATAGGACAGAATTCAACCATTATATTGGTTATTTTGTCTTTAATAAATGGAGTAATTATATAAGACGATTCAATCACACAATGTGAAGGGATCTCGAAATAAAATTAATGTCTGAAAAAGAGAAAAAAGAGAAAAAGAAAGAGAGAGAATGTTAAACTACTTAACAATAACTGAAAAAACACGCTCGTATAATGTATTAAAAAAATATATATAATAAAATGATACCAAGAAACGAGCAAAAATTAAGATAATTTTAATAACTTAACATCTTAATTTTTGCTCGTCCTGGCCTTATTTTATTTCATATATTATTAACCTTTAATACACACGATTGGATCATTCGTGTTTTACACATTTCTTTTCTTTGAAAAACTAGGAGCACCAAGTAATTAGTTGTAACATTTATATACAATTTTTTTAAATGCACAACCTTACAAATACTTTCTAAAGTTAAATTATATGTAAAATTACTTAATAATTTCTGTATAATTTGTTAAAGTGATGGAAATTAATCCAGGACACGAATGACTCATCGTGTGTAGTAAAATACCGGAAAATCATCCAGTGTATCTTGAGTTAAGATACTTACATTAAATATCATTACATTAAAACATTATTTAATCAACTCACAAAAAAAAATTAAAATCTTGATACGCGGACGAGTTTGCGACCGAAATAAAAGTAGAAATTCGTGCAATGATTCGTGTAATTAACGGTATATAGAACTAACGGCAGAAATCCTGGCGAGCGGTCAATCGGCGACAGCCGCGGATTACGATACGTTCGATCGAGCGTGAAGGAATTATCGTAAGAAGCGTCATCGTGAACAAAAAAGAAATAAGTAAAAAGAAAAAGAAAACGGCCAGTGCTCATTCATCGTGGGAGTTCGTTTAACCCCATTCGCGTGAGTTTCTTCATCAGCCGCCGCGGTGAACATTGCGAAACCGAACGAGGTTCGTGGGCCGAAGAATCCTTGCGGCAAGAATCTTATCGGCGAGACGGCGAATCGGAGTATACCGAAATGAGCACGGCGTGCGGTGGCGGTTCGATAATGGAATGCGCGAGACGATGTCATGCCCGTGTCGACGGATTCGGGGCGAGACGTCGGGTCGTTAAATCATCAAAAGGGTCGAGAATAAACGAGCCGGGAAATGGGAATGAGGAAATGACCCCAGTAACGAGGCAAGGCGACAACGAGGCAAAAGTTGTCAAGCCTAGGCTCCGGTGACACCCACCTTGCCAGTGGACCACTCCTCTTGGCTCGCTGGCCGAGGATCTTCTCGACTACGGTGACGTTGCCGCTTCTTGCTGCCTCGAGCAGCTCCTGGTCCTTGCCCATGGTCCATTTACACCGCGATCAAGCCGCGATGTTCGCCCGCACACTTGTCAATTTGTGTTTTCACTACGATTACTCGCGTTTCATTGATCCAACGTGGCCATCTTGAGCGAACTGACGCGCCGCCGTACGGCGGCCTAGCGAAACTAATTCCTCGATGAAATTCATAATAAGAGGGAGTGAGAGGACGCGAGCAATCCCGTACGGCTTATGAATGGAGCGAGCGAGATGGCACAATCGTGCGCCACGAACGAGCACGAGCTCGTAGAGCCGAGTGTCGAATGACAGCTGTTGCGTCGTACTGATTCTCCGTCGTCTCAACGAAAACGCCGGTTCGCCCTTAAACAGTAACTTGAACGAATAAATACGTAATACGGAATGTGCGCCGACATGAATCGAGCCGTTATCTTTCTATTGGTTTTGTCATTATTCTTCAGTAACGAGACGGTGGCGTTAGGAAATACGGCTACCGAATCCGGTAAGCGTACATAACCTCAATATTCAGCAAACTTTTCATGAAATTGTAAACAGTATCTTTGGGTAAAACTTAGGACGATATTTATTGTTTATTCTTATTTTAAGGTCGTCTCAAATAATGTCTGAAGATGCTGATACGCGCTGCTCTCTAATTTATTCGTAACATCTTCAGACTGTACTTAAAACTGCCTTAAATTTAAGAATCGACTATGAATATCAGCCTTAGAACTATTAATAATATGCAAGTATCCGGATACTCGGATATCTTCTCATTATTGAAAATATACGAATATAATTCAGTCATTGTTTAAAATATGGATATAACCTGCATATCTACTCCTCCTATCTATTCCAAATATATGAATCATACTTAGGCCTGGCTCCACCCCAAAATGTAAGATTAATTCTAATTTTGATTTAACTACAAACATCCTTTTTATATTTTTATGAAAGGGACACTCCCATGTTACGTTACAGTATATTTATCTTTTTCCAATTCTAGGAATATTCTATAAGTATATAAAGTTTATCTGAGTCAATACAGGATGTATGAGTGTGATAATTCAAAGAGATAGATATAAATGTATACATTTATAGATTTGTTCATTGGAGTTCTGGTTCGAATTTTTAATTTAATCTAAGAATATTCTTAGAATTAGAAAAAGATAAAGAGTAAACTGAACCGAGATAGAAATTATTCTTACATTGATGGAACTGTGCCTTAGATATTTGAATAATATCTGTTGATTATCCGAAATTAGTAATATCAAATAATTGAATACTTACATATTTCCTGAAAAGTACAGGTAATATCTAAATATTTGTATAATGCTAAATACTAAATTACATTATTCAATATATGTGAATATCTAATATTCAAGTTAATCGAATATAAGTGATTAACACCTGATAACTACTTGAAATGTACGAATAATATCTCAATAATTTCCAAAATGCTATAAAATGTGTGAACAATTTATAAATATTTGTATGATCATTTACTATTCTAAATATACATATTTTAAAATGTGCAAGTACTCTCTAAAAGTAAATCAGTGTATTATTACTTCAGTGCTACATTTGTAACTGATGTAATTAATAATCAGCGAATATTTACTATTTTTCAATAATAATACACTGATTTTTTTACTTTTAGAGGTTATGATTTTTACAGATTGAATTTTCTAAAAGTGAATCAGTGTATTATTATTGAAAAATAGTAAAGCTGCGTTCGAGAATACACATAGAATGCCTCCAAATATCATTCTATCTTTGTTATTAATCGAATGTTAAACAAGAATAAATTGATATCTGGAATCACTCAGTGTGTATTCCCGAACGCAGCCTAAATATCCGCTGATGATTACATCAGTTATAAGGGTAGAGTATAGCACTGAAGTCACTGATTCATTTTTAGACAGTAGAAGTAGACATACTAAACAAATCTGAATATCCGTTCACTATGCAAAATTAGTAAGTAACATTCAAATATTTTAATAATTATGTCATTCATATTATTTGTAGAGAAAAAATGATATTTTTATGTAAATTTTTATTTTTTTAGTTATATTCAACTTGGTGATAAACAGTAATTTATTAATCTAAGGTTAATATAAAATACATTGAAATTATTAAGACAGGAAAAATTTATAAAATTGTTTAAATGAAAAAAGACATTATTATATGACTATTTGAATGTTAAAGTGGACTCTCCCTATTTTGCAGAATCTGGTTTCTTCAGGTCTATTTGAACTTTCCTATGAAGTCCAAATAGTTTGAATTTTCACAGAAAATTTTGTATGTATTTAGATATTATCAGATTCAGTAGTTTCTTTTCATGAACACATTCTTCTAGCAATACTCTTATGTTGATTCTGTCTCTATTCTCATGAATTTACTTGAGAGCCTCAAGAATTCACTTCTCCCCTGCTTCATAAATACCCCTTTACAGACTTCTTAAAATCATTTTTAAATGATAACCACAAAGATGTTTAACATTCTGCAATGTTTTTTGTTAAAAATTCCGGAATTCATGTTATTCGTATTAGTTTCAATTCATGTTAGTGTCAACCATAGCTCAGTTATAATAACGTTTATAGTAATAAGAAACAGACGTTCTCCTGCTCTGACCATTCACTCTCATTTGTAATAACTATAGTATGGTTCGCGTTATCGGGTATTTTAGTTGCTGGAGATTCCGATTTTTCGATTACCTTTACAATTAATTTCGTTATTGAGTTATTTTATTATATATTAAGTTGTTTATGTCTTCGGCTTCTAAGAGCAAGAAAGCTTCTTCATCGATTCCTGAGTCTATAAGGAAAAGAAAGAGAATGAGGTTATGCAGCATACATACAATATGCGGTCACGTTTTGATTTGTGCCTCTCGATGTTATATTATTTTGTCAATTTTATATTGGCATTTTTGCATCACTTACTTTTGAATATGTCCAAGTAAGAGTCTTATCCCTACTCTTTAAGATAATTTTCGACTTTCGTATCCATTATGTTTTCCGAAGTCCGATTGTTAATCCCGATGTCCACAATGCTAGAAATCGATCCGAGATCTCGGACAGAGAAAGAATTAACAAATCACATTTGAACAATTTGGTCGCATGACCAGTGCGATTGGTCAATTCTTTCTTCATCCGAGGTCTCGGATCGATTTCTAACATTGTGGACATCGGGCTTTATAATTTTTTCGACCTCAATTATTATAATCGATATATTTTATAAAAAACTAATTAAAATTTTAATCAATGTAGCTCTAACTCACCTACGTTATTGCCGTTGGGCGAGGCATAAGCTGCTATCAAGCGCCAAATTCGTCGAATTCGTCTGTCAGATTTTTTCGTTTGTAGTAACAGAGAGTTCGTTTCTTATCATATTTCACTACACTTCATTTCGCGCACTCTGTGCGGGTAACCAAATGGCTCCCTACGATGGCAGCATATTTGAGACGGAAAATTTCGGTTCCTCTAACCAAAAGCATTTGTTAATGTAAACAGCGCTTCAATTAGTGAGAATAGGTTACATGTTGCTCTAACTGAAACTCAACTAACTGAATATCTCTGCCTGATACAGCCGAAATGTTTTTTTCCGTGGCAATAGGATCATTTTTTGCAAATGGGACCTAGGATCGGAAGGTGTCGTTACATCGCTAGCAGACAGTGTTCGAAGAAGATCGGACCTCGAAATATCTCAAAAAATATAAGTTTTATAAAAAATTGTTTCAGATAAAAGTTATAAGGTATAAAAAGATCTATTTACTGACCTTATGAGTTTGAGCTTGGGTCGCGAGAGTCAGGTCGAGATTGCCTTAGGCAAGATCGATGGCTGATCCAGCCAGTGAAGGCAACAGTACTGTTCGGAGTATGTACAGCAGTACACAACAGTACTGGTCAGAGTACATAAAACTGAAGTCTACAAATAAATGAAGGTTTTTATTTGCTCTAATCTATAATAAAAAATGATCTTGCCTAAGGTAATCTCGACCTGACCTTGGCGACGCCACCCAAGATCAAATTCATAAATAGATCTTTTTACATCCTACAACTTTTGTTTGAAACAATTTTTTATAAAACTTATATTTTTTTGAGATATTTTGAAGTCCGACCTTTTTTGAACACTGTCTGCCGTAGTGTAACGACACATTTCCGATCCTAAGTCTCATTTGCAAAAAATGATCCTTTTAGTGCCCCCGACAATCTCTGAAAGTTTGTCGGTTAAATTTTCGAACATCCTGTATAGCTCTAATATATCTCTACATTATATGTCAATGATTGCGATCAATAAATAAAAACTAATCTATTGTTTTTGGAAAATGAGATCTGATTTTTTAGATTTACACGTAATTGCTATTTATCTAATTGGTTGCACTATGCTTTGTTTACTTTATCATAATATATAATATAGATATTTTTTTGGACAGAGAGAGAGAGAGAGAGAGAGAGAGAGACGTCTAGGAATATATATTTTTGTATTGTTTTATATTTAGAACAGGGTTATCTGTAACTCGCTCGTGTCGCGTTGCATATTAGATAAATAGCTCTAGACATGAAAACATTACAGAAATGTTTAATTTTTCACAATAAAGTAACATGTAATTATCGTAATTATCTTCATTAATATCGACGTTCGATGTATTGTATTGCAGACAGCATCGGGATAACCGTATCTTTATTGAATCATCGTGAGAATGACGCATTCAAACAACGAATAAATTTAGCCCCATTTAATCGCTTAAACATTACTGTGAGAGATGTTCCATCGGATATTTGGTTTATTGTTTTACAAATTCATACATTTCAATACAATGCAACGTTATCTTACGATAAAGCACTACTTGATAAAGTGGCGGACAGAGGATTATTCGGATCAAACATTGGTCTGTATTTAAAAACATACGATGTAACAGCTCCAATACAGGTATTCTTGAAGCATGAAAACGTGTACAATCTCGATGCATTGCTCGTGATTGTCACATACGGTCGAAATGGTAAGTACATATAAATAATATATATCTCTATTCTTTTCATATTTTCCTTTTCGAGCAACATTCATTTATGGAATTAAATTTAACATCGACACAACACTGCCTATTAATATAATATAAAATGAATGGCCATGTATATATAAAGACAATTGCAAAAGGATAATATTCGTGTGATAAAGATCGAAAAATTATATGCTGTATTAAATTAAATAACCGTGTTACGTTGATCGCGATAGCACAAATAAATCGCAAATCATACCAAGACGCATTCGATTAATTTGCGGCGCATCTCTATTATCCGTTACGCGTAAATGGGTTAAATAGCTACGTTTTCGACGGCAAGCGTAATGACAAAATTGGTCGAGTATCGAGAGAATTCATCAGCGTTGTACATTCGTTGATTGTTGTTCTCTGCAGCGCCGGTACCGGGTGGTTGTAACATGGAATTCGATATCAAAGTATCACCGTATCAAAAACTCCATGCAGAAAACGAAATGATATTAGTAGACACACAGCCAGCCTCAATTCTTTTCTCCAATGGTTCATCGATTTCTTGTGAAAAAAGCCCAATACAACACAAGATGTACCGTCTTTATCTGCCTAGACAGGATTTTACTCTGGATACATATTTCGACGCGATCACGAGAATGCTGACCGTGCAAGACATTGTGCAGAACGGTGACGAGGTATCTTGTAATATTAGACAGATAAAATTTCAATCTCATACCAATAAATACCGATATCATAGAATTGATATAACGCTATCGTTATTTTTTATATGAATTGTTCTAATATACACGCACTATAATTATAGCGATCTACAAGCGATCTACTTTGCTAACAAGTTGTTGATGCTTATTTACTGTTCGCAAAATGCATCTTATAATACTGGTCGACAATAATTTGTTAAATAGGTTATTTTTGTTTATATATATTTTGTATGCTATATTTTTATGCTGATTTTAAAAATGAAGTTAGAATTTATCCTATAGCCTTCAATTTTTTAAATTGATGTATCTTTTTTAGAAATTTATACATTTTATTAACAATAAGTCGTTGTATAGTCTTTTTGTAATTAAAATTATTTATTTTTGTCTGAAAATTATTTATTTTATGAGCAGAAAATCATGTTAAATTTAGTAGCTATTTTTTCTATGAATCGTTTATTTATATCTAAGCGAAGGAAATAAGTAGAGGAATTTTTTAATGTATATTACTAAAAAGTTCTGCTTGCCTCAAATTTGATAAACAGATTTGAAATCAGTACAAAAAATACTTTAAAATCGTTCTATAAAATTAATTTAACAAAAGAAAAGTGAAATTTTGTCAAATAGTAAATCATCAGAAAATATCAGTTTATAAAATTTATAAAATTTTTAAATGTGCATATTACTATTATTAAAAACATTGCTTTTCTTATACATTTATCAAGCAAATTTGAAATTAAGATTAAAAATGCTGTAAAGAACACTCTCAGATTAATTTAACATTAAAAGAGTGAAATTTTTGTCGACCAGTGTAATTCACGATTAAAAAAATCAACGTATTAATAATGAGTAATTAATAATATTTTTGATAGATACCAGCAGGTACTCTCACGAGTTCTATGAGACGTATCTATAGTGCGTACACCGGCACAGGATCAGTGTATGCCACAGTTGCTATTTATGAAAATTACTCTTCAGCTTACGTTCCAACTTTTACATACGCTTGCAGTCCTCTGCTCTATCCAGAAAGTTGTAAAGTTTTAAGTATGTTTTATCTTTTTTAAAAAATATTTTATAGCTGAACTAGTACTTTTTGTACTTAAAGTGAAATAAGTATAAATGTTTGAAATTTGGCAAAAGCATGAAGGAAAGTTCTAGTGCAGTCTACTGCAGCAGTAAAAAAAAACAAATCTTATATTTCAACATAATGATAGCGAATAATATTTGAGTTTTATTTGAAACGTTATGTTTTTGCACGAAACATAGTTATATGTATATACGACGATAGAATAATTATGCCTCTTTTTTAATGAGATAGTATTGCAAAATGTGAAATTTTTTTTAAGCAATTATTTTTTATCTTCCCAAACACTTGAATATCTCTTGGACATTATAATTTAACAAAATCACATATTAAGTGTCTCATGAAAGATTTATATAATTATTTTCCATTTCGTCATTTTTTCAGATGACGCATTCGCACATATAATTTGTGCATTGGTCCTGATAATAGGCTGCCTATCTATTATTATAGGATATAAATACCCTTCTATAGATCGTTCGTTACCGAATTGTATGATAGGTGGTATCTTAGGATACACTATAGCATTGAGTACCGGCGATTATAGCATCGCAAGTAATCATGCATACATTAATTTTTATTGAAACATTTCAATGAAGTCATATATGTTTAATACAATTTATCTCTCATACTTTAATTTATCTCTCGAGAAGGCACGCGCGATTTTAATGACTCTTGTCTCTTTCAGTCAACGTTCTAATAGGTTCGACATTTGCTATACTTGCTGCAGTCATATCGACTCTTTTAGGAGCTTGTATGTGGTTACGCAATATATCATTGGGATTCTTATGCACATGTATCATATATCTCTATGCTCCAGGTACGTACTATATCTTGACCAAAACCGCGTTTCAAAAAACTGCATGGCTTGCAATGTTATTGAATAAAGAATATATTAACTGTCTCGGTCTCTTTTCTAAAGAATACCTTATGTATTCTTTGTTCGAATATAGTTAATTCAATAAATCAGAAATAATGGTCCTAAATGGTTAAGTTGAATCTTCAGTGCTCAAATAATTCCAAGGAGTAAACCGCTGACCAAAATTGTGTACACCAATGCCTACTAACTAATGCCCAGTAATGCCCAATTTTTATGTTCACTAATATTCTAATAATGCCCATTAATGCCCTAATAATGCATGACCTCATACCGCTTATTATAATATACAATTCTCTTAAATAATGCCCAGTAGTGCCCCAAATTGTACACCGCAATGCTGTCAGCAGTTTACCCCTTGAATAATTCTGTGTGAATTTATATATTCATATCCACAATCCTGCAAACTGCGCGTCGAATTTAATTTTCAGTTTTGAAACACAATTCTAATAATAGAAATAGCACAGTAATATAAAAAATCAAATTGATAAGTAATTTAATAATATTAATGCTCATAGGTATCTTAGAAAATGTTAGTAATATGATGCTGATAAATATTTGTGAATAACATTATTGCGAAAAAATTACCTATAATTAATTTACGTCCCAACCATCGCATTCCAACCAATGCTACAAGTCTCGCAGTACTAACGCGTCACAAAATGCAACATAGAATACAATAAACATGAAAGGATAGGGAAACGAAGGCGGGAATCGTAGGTAGCCTCTCCACGCCGCGGTGCTCGCGAAGGGCTGTTGCGAATTATAGGAAAATAATGAAAGCCAGGCTTAAAAGCGGAGGGATAGAGCCACGCTGCGCTGCCACCCCGAAGTTAGTTCGAGTTTGGCGAAGGGATGAGAGGCGCACAGTCAGTTTCTCCCCGTAGCTTCTATCAATGCTAGCCGCTCATGTGGAAACCTCGCCTACCGAATCCCCCATGCAGAAGCGGCATGGCGCATTCACGTTGCCTCCCACCTTTCTCACCATAACGCCGCGACTACCCTTCGTCTACCCTCGCCCGGACACAAACGCAAAAATGCGCCCACCACCATCGCCGCCACCGCGCGCGGGATACGCGTGCGATGCTCCAGGGTCTACCCTGTCGACGAGACTCCCACGTCATAGTGTAACCAGCTTGGAAGATTCGCATTTACCTAATTGTGTCCCCGTTTATTTATTCTGCACCGGAACCTATTTAGATTACGCGATGCGTGCATGCGCAACTGTACAGGAGCAGCGATTCGGACCCAATTCTATCCCGTCGACAGATGATCGCGATTGCTATTTACCCTGAGTCGACCGCTTTCACCCCGCACACCAGCGTAAAACGAATGATTATGATGTATCTGGGCGTCTGTTAATTAGACAATTGAAATTTTCACACGCGACAACGACGTACATTGAAATTACAGCGACAGAAATATGGAACATTCGATTGTTAACAGGTTCGACGAGATCCTTTCGTCTTGGTTCATATTAATGTTTTGATGATTTGGATCTTATTTCCAATAATATTTCGAACTTTCTGACTCGGTTTCCCACTGATGCACTGATAACTTATCGATTTCTTGTAGCGTGGATGTTTTATGTTTTGGAGCACAATTGGTTATTCTGGCCTATGTTCATAAGTCTAATACTTGCCACAACCATACTTCTGATGACAATATCCCATGTTGCTGAAATAATTGCACGTGCGATTTTCGGATCTTATTTCGTAATCGTCGCAATCGATTATTATACTGGAAGTAATTTGAAATATATTATTATTACCATAATCAGGAGGATAACTATACCTGGATTTAATTTAGCGTTCGTATATCCTCCATTTCAAGGTGCAGGTATGTCTTCTAGCTTTACTTTATGTAATACTAACTCGATATTATGCTCTATTCATTCTGTTTTTTCAGATGTAACTTTGATAATTGTCTGGAGTGTTCTAATAGCAGTACGATTTATTATACAATCATATACTTTTTTGTGTTGTGAGAAAAAATTTACGACAGGATTAAAACGTAATACAGAAACAGAATCTTTACTATATAACTATCATGATGACTATTCTACCGAAAGACATATAAGAAGATCTCACAACCAGTCTCGATATTATAAACGTTATATAATATTATAAATGTTATAACTAATGTTGCTAATATTGCATATAATGATTTTGATATAAAAAAATTTTGCAATTTTTTAATATTAATTACTTTACAGCCTAACTAAAATAATAATATAATTTCATTTAATGGAATTTTATAATTATTAAAATCAATCTTTGTTAAAAATCGATTTAAGTCGCAAATCTCAATTGATATACTTTGTATAAGCTTATATAAATATTATACGTACCTGTTTTCCTCTTCGTTCTTCATCAAATATTAAAATGTGATATTTTCTTTAAATAGGGCATAAAATTACAACAATGATGCACAACGTCTATATTGAGCGTTTAACATTCTGAGTTCTTTTTTATATTTTTTTAATATGAAAATTTTATTTTTGTTTAATCATTACAATGTTTATTTCTACGTTAATATGTATACCTAAAGTATACTAATTTTATTTTTTACGAAACTAAATTAAAATATTAATAGCTATTAATTAAGTTGTGCAGCATTATTAGGCGATTTTTGGCGTGTTTCTGGTATAGCACTCAAAAGTAACCGCGACTAAGGCTATCTTCATTTTCAGGGATCAGAAGACAAAGATAGCCTCAACCGCGGTTGCTTTTGGTTGCTCTACCAGAAGCACGCCAAAAATCGCCTATTGTAACTTACTGTAGAGTTTATATATATATACAATATCCGATATTTTTTTTACTATTTTACAATATATTATATAAAAATTTATGTGGACCATATGTATTATGAATAAAGAATGTTGATTTGGCTTTAAAATGAAATAACATTTATTGAATCGAGACAGTGACACCTAACAGTGGTTCTCTATTTCCTACTACTTACAATCTTAAAGTTAATCACAGCAACAATATTATCTCATTATTCACAACACTTACATAGATTACTGTCGCAATAATATATTATTCTCATTAATAAACTTGTTAATACTCATACACTGTAGTTGTTATTAGTAATATCATTACAGATAATAAGAAAGACGCGTAACCACTTCCGCGTAACGTTGGTTGGTTGTATAACGATTAAAGCATAATTTCGCTGAAACGCATTTTACATGCATGAAATTGCGGTAACGTTCAATTCGCAAAAGTTCTATGCAAATGCAGATTTACAAAGGTAACATAATAAATGAGAAGTACTTTAATCTACTATTCGCGAAATGCACAGCCTGTTGCAAGTGCAGCGCCTGTTTGCAGAGAATCTTTGTGCAGACGTGTATAATACGCAACCATTTAGTGGATACGTATTCAGTTCATCCCGGAAGATTTCTTCGAGTAGAGCAATAATATCAAATGCAAATGTTTTCATAATTTATTTTTTCGACGTTATATAATCTTATTTTTGCAATTATCCTTCAATTAAGAAAAGGAAGATCAATTAAGCCTATAAACACGTAAGTATATAATATTTTGAAAAAGTTAATTAGTGAGAAATTTATTCATGAGGAAGATATCAAATATTGCAGTCTACTTCGGATCCTTGTGAATTTTTTAAATTCTGGGCGCTTTATATCTTTCTTAGATGTTTACCTCTTTCTCTATTTTATTTTAGAAATTACATATTTATTAAAATCATAAAGAAAGCGAGAAATATTTCTTGAATAAAAGTAAGTTAATATTGAAAAAAATTTTTCAAGGATCTTTCTTCACATCAAATGAAATTTTTATAACAAGGAAGTGGTATTGGCTGATTTAAATAAAAGTTGTCTCGAACTGGAGTTATCATCGCGAGATCAATTTTACAGCGGCGCCTTTTAGAGATGCACCGAAGATTTTCCAGCGTTTTCAGTTGACGCTGACGTTTTTATTTTCGTTTTCTTCCAAAAATATAAATTTACTAATTTACACAGTACACTCTCCATTAAGTGCTCTTCACGTATAAACGTTCAACAAGTTTACACGAGCCCTACGTGACCGTGTAAACGCCGACGAGAAACGAGCGACACTGTTCCGAGTGGCGTAATTTTACACATACTTCACACGTTACTGTTTAACACAATGTATATCGTCCACGGTTATCTATTGGCTGCTGATTAATTGTAGAGAGTTCGTCACCTACATTTATTACGACACGCATTGTCGATAAAACGATCGTTACGCGTTACCGAGGAAAAAAAAGGAAAAACGCTTGCAAATATTCACATCGCGACAGAAAATATCGGCATATACAATGTTGCCTCCTGAAAAAAAGCCCTATCGAGTTCTGGAACGATAAAATTTGAAAATATCGAGTTGCTGTTTTCACGCCGTTTTTTCCACACTATACGAATCAATGACTAATTATTCGACGCGATCGTGCGGCGCGACTCAATTACTAAAAAAACGTGCTACTCTCCCGTTAGGTGGTGATCGAAATGCATCGATTAAATGGATCACGGATATAAACACCCATTGAAATCGCAATAAGTCCGCACAGGTGGTTGACATTTCTCCTTGCGATTAAAAAAAAAGATAATCTAGTTTCATGAATAATCGCCAAATTTTTATTTTTGTGATTTCTGAAATTATTATTGTAAAAATTCCACAACGTAAAGTAATAATATATCGCTCATAAAAATATTGTAGCTTTAAAATAAACGCAATAAACGCAATCGCCTTATTCGTAGGATTACTCTTTTAAATAATACGTATGAAATATGCAAAATTTCTGTATTTTTTGTAATCTTGTTGATGATTAATTTTACACGTATTATTTGCGTATTGAGATCTGTTCCAAAACTCGTCTTGAAACGAAAAACTTACGCGTTCGACGTGTGTTTTCGCGAAATGATAGGTGAATAAATGTAGGCTCAGATCATTTGATTTTATTGAAGTTCTGCTGTTGCACGGTGTAAGTAACGGAGTCATCGTTTCGGTGAGGGAAAACATTGAATACACGGATAAGATGTTGCGTAGTTTATAATGTGGATACGTTCGAACGTAACTGGAGAATTCGTCTAACTTATTTACGTATATATACAGTGATAATTATTTCTAATGTACAGTACTGGTTTAAAGAGAGTAACAAATGCTATTTTACAATTATCTTTATACAGCATAATCGAAAGAATGTGCTTCGATCGTGTGCGCGGTGACGATTAACGAGTTCGATGCCAATATAAGATTTCTCGTTACTGCGAGCACCAATATTTGCGATTCGTTTGTAACGACGAATCCGCTTCCTCGGTCCATTAGCTCAGCGATACATTTACATTAATAGCAATAAATACCGACGCAAACGTCCATGCTACTTGCCTCCTTCGGGCATTACTGTGACATTTACGAAATCTTCTCTATGATTACGTCGGTTTATTCTTCATGACCTCATACGTCACTTTATTATGGTAATAAGGATGGTACAAGCTACAGATTGGATTGTCTTAATCTAGAATCGTGTATCTTGGACCGGAATGAACGTTGTGGAGAGACGTGTAAATAAAGAGTTTCAAATCGAACATTTTCGCCTGCTGTCATTGCTCGCAAATGTGTTTAAATATAGTTTACGCGAAATTTAAAAAAGTGCTATTCGCGTTACTACGTTAAAGAGGATCTGAAACTGTAATATTGTTATTCTCGATAAATCTTGCACACAGATCTCGAGGTTTAAATCTAGCATAATTTGAAATACACGCGGCGATTTTTATTGCGTGTCCGGTTGCATTTGCAAAGCGTGCGATAAATTCACGCGTGAAAAACCACTCACATTAATAATAATGTAATAACAATATTTTTATCGAGTACAACAAACAAATAAACAACAGAAGATATATAAAAAAATTGCAAATTTTTTCGCAAAAGAATTTTTTCATTTAAAAGTATAAATAAAAAGTCTAATAAAATATATTATAAATTAATATAAATATATATTACAAAATTATTTCCTTTATATCTCTGAGATATTTTTCGCGAATAAATTGTCGATCAATATACACTATTCACGTGGATTAGGGCCGCAATATCCTTTCGAGAGCAGTGTCTTCCGACGCCATATCTGTCGACAGACACGATGGCCGGCCTTGCTAAAAAAAAAGCCGCCCTCCAGGCAGCTATCAACCCCCGCAAACCGTTCCCTCCCGCAACGAAATCAGCCTCATCGAGAGACTACCACCCTAAACTCTCGCGAGAATATATTTCGGCGGGAGCCGCCTACGTGTCTGCGGCTCCCTTTCAATTTCCACGCGGTTCGCGGCCGCCCTTACACGAAGGAAAATATTTGCCGGAAACCGATACAACGTGCGGCAAACAATATGCGCCCGGCGCTATCCAATAAATCCGGTAATAAAGCTCCCCGATACCGAAAAACGAGAGCCGCTGTAAATTTAATGAATGCTCTTGACATCGATCGACTTCGGGAAAACTAAAAGGGAGAATTCGCGCATGTCGGACGAAGTGAAAAATAACTTTTCCGGCACATTATGACGCTTATTAAAAAGATTCTTTTGTAGCAGTGAAATTATCGGCAAATGCACGAGAGATCACTTTCAATTTGTGTAACGAATATCTTAAGGAAATTATATTTTTTTTTTGTACAAAAATAACTATGACGATAACTAGTGGTTCTTCACGCGAAAATCCTCGACGTGATGATGAAGGTAGCGTAACGTAAATCATTTACACATACTATCGTGAATAGGTAATTACCCTGCGTGACCCGGGGTCATGCGTATACATCTACGAAATCTAGATCAGACACGAAGTGGAAGATGGGTAAAATTCATTGGTTCGAGCTCGAATTGTAAAACTTATTGTGCTGTCTAAAATATTCCGCTCTGTGTAATCACGTTGGTAAAAAATCTTTTCATTCAATTTCAAAGAGGATTTAATTGCGGCATGCTGCCGCTCCATTACTGATCGCCAATGCGGGCGTTGGCAAATTTACAAATTGTTCAAGAAGGGGGGGAAACCTATCCTATCTCCTAATCCTAATCGAATAGTTTCGTAGATAGGTATTGCCATTCAGAAAATTGACGGTCGTAAACATTCGAGGACGCGAGTTATTAATCCGACATGCG